AGCATACAACCAAGTAAGAACAACAAAAAGTCTGTTCTGGAGAGAAACCCCCTGATATTGGTTCGTCTCAGAGGGTTACAGAAGACTCCATCCTAAGCTGCATCTGACAGCAAAGAGACATTTTCAGTTAGAAACAGACTGAGTAGACTCGGACTCACCTTGTTCACCAAAGAGAATAAGTCTGGAGAAGTGTTTGGAAAAGCCTGGATTGGGGAGAGCTTATATACAATTCCTCACATTGCCTGGAGGGTCCAAGACAAACTTACACATGCAATCATAATTATTTACCAGCCCAAATGTGTAGCGTAGGTAAGTCTTCAAAGGGATGAAAACATTTTGCTCAATGTGTGAATTAATTAGTTGTGTTAAAGCCCCATGTAGCGTGGTTTGCACATTCCACCCTAGAAGCTTCTTTCATCTTAAAACTTTAAGTACTATATTAGTTTTTGGTATCATTCTACTTACCACACTGAATTTGCAACAGGAGGCTGCTGTCTCTACTAATTTAGCAAGTCTTTAATACTTCCCATCAAGGTTCAGTTTTATCACAGCATTGTTTCACACATGCTTGCATTTGAGTGCTTTAGTCCACGCTATTACAGAAAAAAGGGAAACGTGTCAATCTAGTTCCTAAGGGGGTGAAAAGGTATTTTCACCATGTACTAAATCCGCATCTATGACTGTTCAATACAAGGCTGACAACGTATCCTTCTGCATCACTGGCTTATGCACCACTGAAGTCTTGCTTTCACAGTATCATAGTGCTTAGAGCTATAAGGGACCAAAGCAGATCATCAAGTCCGCCCCCCTGCCCTGGGCAGGGCTGGTTGTCAGGGTCATATCACCCAGGCCAAATATCTGCCCAGCATCCTCTTGAAGACCCCCAAGGTAGGAGAGGGCACCACCTCAATTGGGAGCCCATTCCAGAGCCTGTAAAGCAATGTCTTCTGATGTCCAGCATCTCTAACAATGTGTGGCTGTTATTCCTCGTAATTCTGGGTGGTACCTAGGGGAAAAAGATTTTACCTTACACTAGATAGGTTGGGGATAGGAGTGACTGTCAAGGGCACTGAATCTCCATCTCCTTCCAACCTCCAAAAAGACACATGTGATCCTACAGGAAACTGCACAGGAAAGAGCCCAGGAAGGATCATAGGAGAGATGGACATCCAATTCTCCTCTCCAAGGGAAGAGGAAGAGGTGGGCTCATTGTGAAAAGATTCCCCAAAGATAATTAGTCTAACTGGCAGGCTGACCACCTAGCTAATTTTGAGAGGTGGGCAAATTGTGCAGCTGTGTTTCAGATTCTGCTCTTCTGCTTTGAAACAGGTAGCCAGAGACCAGCTGAGGGTAAACTCCAGCCTTTTTGGTTCAGTGAAATCTTTGGGCCACAAGCATGACTGGAAAAAAAAAAATGACTAAACTGTCCTTTTAATTGAAGGTTTGTATCACAGACAGCTTTGCCTTAATAGAGCCCACAGTCCCATAGCTACCTCTGTGTTAAGCCTAGATGAGGCATAGCAATTTTCAAAAGATTGTATGTCTGTTGTTCTTAGATGCAAACACAAACCTGTTCGGTCTGACTTCTGGAGTCGTAAGCAGCCCTTTACAATAACCCTACAGTCCCCACTTCATTTTCCTGCTTTCTCCTTCTTCTAGGACCTGCAGTGGTTAGACTCAGCTCAGTGGAAGTTGGTTTCATCATTTCGAAGTGTGTGCAAAATCTAGCAGATGCTACATGTGGCAGACACTGTGCATTCACTTTGTCCTGTTGTATATGACTGTACAGTGGGTAGGGGTTGGCAAACATTTTGGTTTTCCAATAAGCGTTTGGTTCCACCAATGTAATCACTAAAACTGTCCCTCTCCTCCTCCTTTTTTGTGATAGACACTGGACTGCAACAACTCCCGGTCTTTCACCTTCTGTTCTAAGGTGGGATCAGGAGCTGGCTGATGAAGGGAGCCTCAGAAATGGACATAGGAGCGTATTCTCCCCACACTCACCAGTACAATGGCAAAAACAAGAAAGAGATAATCCATACCCTGGAGAAGATCTCTTAAGGCAAGTGGTTTGTTCTTGTCTTTAGAAGATTGTAGTGGACCATGCCAGCTGAACATGTCTTACTGGGAGGGGGGAGGGGATGGCAGTCGACTGCTGTTTTCCTTGTCCATTCAATCTCAATTCCATTCTGGATTCTTAATTCTCTAATACATTTTGTTGCAAGTTTGGAGGTAGATTTTTTGGGCTATTTGTACTGGATTACATCTCCCAAGATGGGAGATTCAGATATAACCAGGTCAATTCCCCTCACCACCACCACCCCTGATGCGGACTGCACAGCGTATACCCCAATGGCAGGATTAAACTTCCAGGTGGGATTGAATGGTGACTTGATGAAAGTCACATGTGTGGATCTGTGTGAAGCTGACAGTATCTCTGGCTGGGAAGCAAATTTGCCCTTGGAGCCAGCCAGTAAGATCAAAGGCTGGCTGGTGCCCAAGACTTCTTTTATTTATGAACATGTTCACTGTTAAACATCTCAAGCATCATGCAATCAATTATCCCTAAATCATGAGGTGCCTCTATGAGCCATTGTGAAACCGCTGGCTAGTAACACCCATTAGGGTCATTCAGAATCATCTCAGAGACCAGGACTTTCCAGTCTGTACACAAGTATTCATAAATGGTTTATTCATGCTGTGTTCTTGTGTTGTGATATTAAAATATGCGACTGGATTGAGACACCCCACTATTACAAAATAGCTTCCTATTAATATACTTGAGTCAATGGCATTTGTATCATTCCTGTAATCAGGTCAGGCATTAAAACATTAAATCATTATTTGATTTTCCTGAATACGGCAATTCTGCTTCTCTGTTTATTAAAAATTTTCCTGGTTGGCACATACTTTACTGTACAAGTCAGCACAGAAAATCAGCAAGCACAGCCCTTTCAATTGGGGCTAGCTGGCAGTCTCTGTGTGTATGTCAAATCACAATTACATAGGTCATCCCAGGCCTCACACTGACCTGTTACTATTCTGCTTTTAAAAGCAATTTCTGTCTCTCTTATACGATATCTTCAAATATAGTAGCACATTTCCTGTAGTCATCTTAATAATCCCTTGGACTTCAGTCACTTATGATGTTCCTGTGGATTTAGGACATACAAAGGGGGGAAGAGAAAAGATGGTCTAGTAACTGAGACATGAGGCTTCAAGGAGCTTAGACAGTAATTTTCAAAACCAACAAGTTATTTTAAATTTAGTCAGTGCATGGGCCCATAACCAGAAAGATCCCTGAGCTTTTTGTCCATAGACTAGATAACGCTTGTATAGTGCAGACACAAGTTACAGAAGCCACTACATTTTGAAAAAAAAATTATCTGATAGTTATGACTGCAGAGCATCTCAGACCCTTCAGGCAAGGTGAAGAATTGTATATAAGCTCTCCCCAGTCCCAACTTATCCCAACACTTCTCCTGACATTGAGTTTGGTGAACAAGGTAAGTCTGATTCCACTCAGACTGTTTGTAACTGTTCAAATGTCTCTTTTTTTGCCAGATACAGCTTAGGATGTGGGCTTCTGTAATACTCTGAGGCTCTAATCAATATCAGGGGGTTTCTCTCCAGAAATGATGGAAGGCTGTAGAAAGTAAGGTTGGGATTGTCCAAGCTCTAAATATTGGAGGTGCCCATTATTTGACATTAACTCAACTTTGGGCCCCCAAATCCATTAAGTTAGACTTCAGATATTTTGGTACCACAGAGAATTCCTTTAATGTTGTAGAAACCCCCCCAAAAAACTAGAGCATCTGCTGTGGCGGGCCAGTAGGGGGCGCTCCTGCGTTGAGCCGCCCACCTCCCTGCGCCGACCACCTTCCAGGCTCCGAGTGCCTCCCTGGGGTGCCTTCCGTCCGGCCGACCCCTTCCCTGGAGCACACCCGCTAGCCTGGGGTTCCCGCTGCCACCATCCAAGGCTCTGGACCCAATTCTGGCTCTGCGCACCTTGGAGAACACAGGCCTGATCGTCCAATGGGTGCTAGACCCAATACAGGCACTTGGGGCACTTCCCCAAGTCAGGGGCTGATTAGGGAAGCCTCCCTTAGTCCACCGACCTAAGGGGCCTCCTCGGCATAATTTAGACCCACCCCTCAATAAGTCTCCACACCGGTCACAAAGGAGACCTTTATTGATTACAGGGGGCAGGGTGAAAACAGGGTAAAAGGTAGAGCAATATCAGAGGAATATCAGAGGAATCCCATAGAGCAAACTAGGATGGCTGAGGTAGCCGTTTAAACATGCATCTGAGTTACTGTAAGCTAAATATCTAGTCTGATCTCAAGTAGCTTACTCACTCGCATCATTCAGAGGTGGTTGTTGTTTCCTCTGGAGGCAGGGCACTGAGCATGCGGTTATGAGGAGAAAGCCAGTTTCAGATTCACCTGAGTGACCGCATGGCTAATGGCTGGCCCTCTTCCTGGCCCGGGGCTTTTAATAAACTTGGGCCGGTGGGCTGGGCTTTTCCCTCCCCCTCCCCAGTTGACCAGAGAATCCGCCTCCCAGGCACCAGGCCCCTGTCATGTGGGCAGGGAGGAAGATCCCCCGCCATGAAGGATTCAACACCTGCCTCTCATGCTGGCAGACACAGATTTCTGGAGAGGGGCACAGACGGTGGCTTTTCTGCCACATCTGCCTGGTCACATCCTTCCCTGTTGTGGCTATGTGGACATAACAGTTGTCTTCTACATTTACATCTGGATTTGGGCCCATGGAAAAATGAAAGTAATTTGTGGTTTCATTTGTTGTTGCAGAACATAGCCATTGGTGGAGAAGAAGTGTAAAAAAATGGAAGAGGGAGGAGAAAACCAAAGTGTTTTCAGCAAAGGGACAGTATTCTACCTGTCTGTCTGTCTTGCTTCCCATACATCCCCCATTATGCTTGTATTCAGTTGGAACTTGAGGGCTGTCTGTTTCAGGTTTGCCTCCATGCCAAGAAGATGTCCTGCACTGACCTGTGTTACCCATCAGGTGGGATTGCCTGCCCAAAGCCCTATGCTGACAGCTGCAATGAGGCCTGTGTCAGGCAGTGCCTTGACTCAAGAGTAGTGATACGGCGACCACCGGCTGTCGTGACCTTCCGAGGCCCCATTCTCAGCAACTTCCCTCAGGACAGCATCGTGGGATCCGCAGGAGTACCTGCTGCGGGCCATGGAGCTGCTGGGGGAACTGCCCTGTCTAACAGCATTGGTGGTGCTGGGGGCTTCTATGGTTATGGAGCATCTCTTGATTCTGGGGGCCTCTATGGTTATGGAGGATCTCTTGGTTATGGGGGCCTCTATGGTTATGGAGGATCTCTTGGTTATGGGGGCCTGTGTGGTTATGGGGGCCTCAGCTCTGATTCTGGGAGCTGTTACAGCTCTGGATACTGCAGCCCTTATTCCTACCGGCGATATGGCAGGTACCGCTATGGAAGCTGCGGACCGTGCTAAAACCAGCAGGAAGATCCACAGATGCAGAAATCAACAGAGGAATGAAATACGTGATCCAGATACATGACTGAACTTCTGGGCAATAGGCATGAGAAGTTTCTGAGCACCCACAGCTCTAATGAAATCTACTGGAGCTGCATCTGCTCAACACCTCCTAAATTTGTTGCCATGTTATATTTTACCTTAACATTTCTGACCTATTGTCTGCTTCCCCAATCCTGTTTGCCTTTGCTCCATCATGTTTATTACTCACTGGGGTAAAAATTGTGACTAAAAATCTTCCCCAATGTTACTTGATTTTCCAACTCAACAGCTTCAAAATGGATTGTGTGAAGATTATCTCCTAGGTCATCAGCATCCCCTCAGAGTCAAGGATGATGTTTGTCAGGCTTGATGGGTCCTCAGGTGACTGAGGAGCCAAATTCTGGCACACATTATTATTCTACACACATTATTCAGCAATGTGGGCATGTTGTTGAATGGGGGAATGGGATTCACATCTCTGTGTTGGTCTCCTTCTCCTTCCTCCGCTGCCACTGTCTCACCTCAGTATCAAGTCACTAAGCCTCAAAGTGGTGTGCACCTTGGTGGACCAGGTGGCACCACACCAAATGGTTAGCAGCTTGCTTCTCCCAGCTGTTGGTGCCAATGCCTCCGTGCTTGAAGGCAACCTTGAGTGTGTCTTTGTATCATTTCTTTTGGCTGCCCTTTGACTCCTTTTTCCTAGGAGTAACTAACAGATTAATCAGCTTACTGGTATTCTTTATACTCATCAATCCTTTGCTCTGCATATGTATACTCCACCCTTTTCTTCCCATGAAAATTATGTTGCATTATTACATCAGTCTTTTGGTATTTCTTTCTTCTCCTGTTTTTTTATTTCTAAATTGCTGAGGGGGGTCACAATTTTCATTGATGACACTGCTGAATAAGCATTTTCCTTCCTGGAGAGGTGTGGTTAAGAAGTAATGTGCATGTAGTCATGAAAGGTTGTGTTAGTGCTTTGAAATGCCCCTTTCTCCAAATATTATTTCATTCAGAACTTTTTCCTGAGAATTCTTCTGCATGACCTCATGACTTACTGCTTTTTGCTACTTGCAAAGTTAAGTCCCTGTGTTAGTGTCTCCAACATTTTCACCACCCAATGTATACACACACCACACTCTCACTAAACCATCTGCCTTTTGGGATGGGAGCAGATGTGATAACTAAGGAAGGGTGTTCAGCTCCACTCCACACCATCCAATCATACATTTCCAACATTCCTCATTATGCTGTCATTAGCATTACTAGTCTGTGAAGAGTCTGCAGGTAGTTAACCCAGTTCTCTCTGTCACCTACAGAGGAAGGACATTTCTATAGTGCCATCCTATCCTTTGTGCCAACTTAATGAAAGAAGAGCAGTCACAAGACAAATCCTTGAGGATTTCACTCACACTGGCCCCTTCTCACTGAATTTCATACACAACTTGGAGTTTATAGGCTTATCAGAGTTTATTATCTTACATGCTTAGTTGCATGGAAAATATAGCCTTTGATCTTAATGCATCAGATGCTTATCTGAAACATGGACAAAATAAGCTTTCCTCCTACACTTCTCTGTCAGTTGTGTGTACTTGCACTGAAAGATCTGCAGGGCAGGGCTTGGTTTTTATTCTCTGGCTGTGTAGCCCTCAGCATAGTCTGTCCCCATCTCATCAACAGCTTCTAGGAGCTCATGATGCTATTCCTATAAATAAGAGCATCAACAGCAACTAGGAATACCTGAATTCTAGTCTCAGCACTTTCATTCAGTCTCTAGATCAGAGGATCCTAGGAAAGTTGGGCTGCAAGGGATCATGAGATCTAGTCCAGCCCTCTGCTGAAGGCAGGATCATTCCTGACTAAACCATCTCAACCACAGATCTATTTAACCTGCTCCTAAAGTTTCCAGGGAAGGAGATTCTACAACTTCTCTAGGTCAGAGAGACCTATTCCAATCTTTGAAGAGCCTCATAGTCAAACAGTGCTTCCTAATCTTCATCTTAAATTTCATCTGCTTTAGTTTGAAGCCTTTGTTCCTAGTCCTGTCCCCTATGGACACAGAGAAAAGTTCATTTTAATTATTTTTATAATCTGCCTTCAAGTATTTGAAGGCTGTAATCAAATCCCACCTCCGTCTTTTCTTCTCCAGACTAAATAATAATTTTCTCCTTTCAGTCTTTTCTTCCAAGTCATTATACCAGGTAAATCACTTCTGTTACCTCCTTCTACAAATTAGGAGCTATTCCTAGCCACTTCACAAGGCATTGCAAGAGTGACTGGCAGTAACAGATAGTGAAGAGTTAAGTAGTCACAGGGTGCCTCTACACATACAATTAATGTGCAGCAATAAACTCCGGTGCATATTGCACTGGAGTTTTTGCTCCCAGGCACTGGGTTTGCACCCAGGACCACAGCATGCTGAGCCAGGTTGGAACAGACCCAGCTGGCAGGGGTCTCAGGGGATCTGCCTGCCAGGCTGAGGTTGCTGTGGCTCAAGGGTACTTCAGTTTAGGGCTAGCTGGCAATGAAGTTAGTTTATGCCATCCACTACTGGGCACATCTACACATTCATTCATGTACCTTAGGTACTGTACATTTAGTTCAGTACTCGCTTAATAAAATACAAAATAGATGTGCAGTACCTAGATTTACTGCACAGTAGCACCGATGCATTGTTATTTAGTGCTGCTTATTGTGCATTAGCCTAATAATACTGCACATTAGGCTATTAGCACATTTTTTAAACACCACACTACTGTGCAGTGTTATTAAGCTAATGCACAGTAAGTATCTCATGTAGACGTGCCCACAGTGGAGTTAATTAGTTTACTCCATCCTAATATCACTGCATGTGTCGATACTGAGACATTTACTGGACAGCTAATTAGGCAACTGCAGTAAACATCTCGTGCAGATGCGCCCACAGAATATAAATATACCACACATTTTCTATGCAGCAAATCAACTTTCCTCCATATTAGAATGTAGCAGACCCATGTGGTATAAGGCACAGCCTTATACTAATATAAGCCACTCCACTCTAGGATAAAGCTGCCCCTCAAAAATTGAGGAGCAACTATACACCAGTATAAATTAGACTGGTGGACAAACTGGATGTCCCCTCTACTCCTCAGATGCACCCCAAAATAGATCCTCTGCCACCTCATGGCCAGGTGCTGCTCTAGCACCTACTGCAAGCAACCAGCCTGGGATTGCTGGTCCTAAAGTCTGGGTATGGAAGATCTTACCCTTGCTCCCTAGGACAGGGTAAGATCTGCAAGTAATTATTCCATGGTAATTTTGCCATATGCCTGCACCTGTACAAGTGCAGAATTATTAATGTCATAAGCTGTAAAGGAAAGGGGAGAGTGTGGTGGAAAATAGATTCCTTAAGTGAAAAAGGAGCATGGGAAGAAAAGGGCAGAGAGGAGGTGGCATGCTGAAAAACAAAACAAAACAAAAAAAAAAAGAGTGTGTTCCAGACTAGAGAAAAGCCTCAATAGAAGCCGTACAGATCACATTCTGTCCATGGTCAGGAAATGAACAAACTAGACAGCAGGTACAATACTATGGGGATATGTAACTGTCCTATTCAGGGCAACACCAGCTCATGCCACTTTGAAAAAAAAAGCCCCCACTCACTGCTTGCTGCTGGTGATCCCTGCGGCCTGCCACTGCCCCACGCTGCATGGGGGGCTCTGTCATCAGCCCCCTGACCCCCCTGTGATGTCCTAGCCCTGCCCTCCCCATGACTGCCCCACCTGCCCCAGCTCCAGCCCTTTAAAGGGAAAAAATCCCCCAAAACACCCAAACTCACTGATTCCTGCCTGGCATGGGGCAATCTCTGCTGCCCCCCCCACTTTCCCGTGCTACCTGGGGAGCTCTTCCATTAGGCCCACAAAGCTCTGAGGCTGCTGCAGGAGCTGGTGAGCCCAGGTATTTTTCAGGGGGGTTTCCTTAAAAAAAAGCATGGGGCAGTGTGGGGTAGGGATCCCCCCCGCCTCAGGCAGCACTGAGTGATTTGGGTCTATTTTTTAAGGGACTGGGAGCTGGGGTGGGTGGGGCAGCCATGGGAGGGGGCTGGGGGACAGGCAGGGGGTGCGGGCTGGCAGGGGTCCCCCCATGGTTCCCTCCCCACTCCTCCAGCCCCCCCGCCCCCTATTTACCAGCTTCAAGTCCAGCTCTAGCTCCCTGCTGCAATGGGCAGGGACTTCCCAAATCATCAAAGCTCTCCAAATCTTTTCCAAATCAATTTGGAGAGCTTCAAATCAATTCAGACTTTTTTATTGGTCCCCTGATTTGATTCAGATTTGGAGATTCAGCCACCAAATCGAGCCAAATCTCCTCTGAATTGAATCAGCACTTGAAGCTTCACACAGCCCTAGTAACCACACCACCAACCACCTCCTCCTCCCAGGGGATGCTTTTCACACAAGATGCTCTTTGGCTTTTTATGTTGCAGCTGTTCAGTTGAACAATCAAGTACAGATCTGTTACAGGTGGAACATCCTGGAGGAAAGCATGGCATCAAACACAAGTGAAGGAGGGACACTGTGGGCACATCTACACATACACATTTACTGCAAAGTAACTTGAAATCACTGCACAGTATGGGTACACATATACATCATGCAGATACCTGCATCATGCAGGTATCAAAATTACATCAGATTAGTTACTGTGAAGTAATGCATGTGTGGATGCCTTATTGTGCAGTAACACTCTGTATGTGGACTGACTTGGGACTAACTTTAGTCCCAAGTCAGTCCACACACATCATTAATGCGCTTTAACACCTGCACATGTAGACACCGGCCTATTCCTGTTTCAGTGCAGTAAATTTAATGTGACATAAATGCATGCACAGACATGCCCTATGAGACCAGGAGTTTGAAGGTAAAGCAAGATGAGAGAGAAATTTCAGAAGTGCAGTATAGTCACTGCTCCACTGTAGACAACAGGAGCTAGGGAGGATTACCACTTCTCAAAGACAAAGCCAT